AGAACAGATTATCTAATGCTGGTATCTGATTTGCAGTTGTTTTTTTTTTCCTGGTTAGAACTAAACTTTGAGTCAACTTTGCACCCTTCTTGGACTAATTTGGGAAACCTCCAAGAGATTGCTACCATTGAATATAAGTCCAGGAAATGTGGTTGTCTACATTTTCAAAAAGATGATTGATAAGTTAAGAGAATAGGTGTGATTAGGGACTTCAAACATCTCACATTATCTTTTTGTTGTTGCCTTAGCAACAGATGCAGATGCGGACACTGATGATGTAGGCACATAATTGCAGATAGACACAGGCATATAAGCCCACAGGTGAGGTTCTCTGAATGATTTTGTGCTCATGATAGTCCTTTGTATTTTCAATGTTGACTGTTTTTCAAAATACTAATATACAATTACATAACATTTTATAGTTAACAAAATACTTGAAAATATATTTTTTCCCCACTGTACAAGAAAGATGGTTCTGTCTTCATTTTATAGATGAAGAAGTAGGCTCAAGGCTTGACCAGGGAGCTAGAACTTGAGCTCAGATCCTGTGACTTTTAGAAAACTCATGTGATTTGTTTTCAACTCTTGTATTTATTGCAGTTCAAAGTGGAAAATGAACCATATAGATACACAAATAGAGTTCTTTAAAAAAAAAAAAGACTTTATTTTTTTAAGTAATCTCTACCGTCAATGTGAGGCTCGAACTCACAACCCTGAGATCAAGAGTCACGTGCTCTACTGACTGAGCCACCCAGATGTCCCAACTAGAGTTCTTTCTTTTTTTTTTTTTAAGATTTTATTTATTCATTTGACGGAGAGACAGAGAGCACAAGCAGGGGGAGCTGCAGAGGGAGAGGGAGAAGCAGGCTCCCCGCCGAGCAGAGAGCCTGACGCGGGGCTTGATCCCAGGGCCCTGGGATCATGACCTGAGCCGAAGGCAGATGCTTAATGACTGGGCCCCCCAGGCGCCCCCGAGTTAGTTCTAATATATCAAAATGAGTGTAAAAATAAGTAAAAATGTACAGCAGTGACAGAAGGTAGCCTGTATGTGAGTGTGTGTGTCAGGATGTATTCTTTAGTCCTGAGAGCCAAGGTAGGTTGTTCTGCTGACATTGAGCCTGTGCGGTTGCGCCTGTGCAGGCCTGAGTCCTCTAGGAGAGGCAGAGAGTCAGTGGTATGTGATACTAGGCGTGATCTGCATGATGCCCTCCGCAAAGTCATGGTCTAATGGGGATGACAAAACTAGAGTTTAAGACAAGACGTGTATAGCTGGTTTGGGGCTTGGATTGTGTTATCTTGCTACCTCACAAAACCCTACTGCATTTCACAGGTGAGGAAATCAAGAGTCAGGGATGAAGTAATATTCAAGTCAGAGACAGCAAGTGGTTGAACTAGGAATGGAATTAAACCTCTTCTATCTTTTTAAAAAGGTTTTATTTGGGGCGCCTGGGTGGCTCAGTCGGTTAAGCGGCTGCCTTCGGCTCAGGTCATGATCCCAGGGTCCTGGGATCGAGCCCCACGTCAGGCTCCCTGCTCGGTGGAGAGCCTGCTTCTTCCTCTCCCTCTCCCTGCTGTTCTGCCTACTTGTGCTCTCTCTCTCTCTGTCAAATAAATAAAATCCTTAAAAAAAAAATCTTTAAAAAAAAAAAAGGTTTTATTCATTTTAGAGAGAGCGCGCTCACGTGCATGGGCGGGGGGAGGGGCAAGGGAGAGGGGGAGAGAGAATCTCGAGCAGACTCCCCGCTGAGTGTGGAGCCTGACCAGGGTTTGATCGCACAACCCTGAGAGTATGACCTGAGCCAAAACCAAGAGTTGGACGCTTAACCAACTGAGCCACCCAGGTGCCCCCAGCCTCTGATCTAACACCAGGGCCCAGTCTTTGTACTGTGTCAGTGCTGCTTTTATAAGTACCAGTAATGTTCCAGCTTGTTCAAGAGAGAGAAATAAATAGGGTTTGAAGGTTTAGGAAAGAGGTGGGACCTGAGCTGGTCACTTAACTTGAATATGATTTTGATAGAATGGCAGAGATGGCCTTCTGGGCAAGAGAAAATAGTATGAATAAAATCAGAGGAATCTGCATACCTTCTTTGGGGGATGCTGAGAGGGGCTCTTTAGCTGGAGAGGAATAGAGAGAAGAGGGGGCTTCAGGCTGATACTGTTCACACTTTTTTTCTGCAGGGAGGTACTGGCCAGTGAAGCCATCCTTAATATTCCTGACAAGTCTGACTGGAGGCACTGTCAGGTCAGCAAGGAAGAGGAAGAGATGCTGGCTCGCCGCTTCCGGAAAGACTTTGAGCCCTTTGACTTCACTCTGGATGACTAAGCAAAGAGAAAGGCACTTTATGAACTTGACAGGAAATAGTAGCCTGCTTTTTTAAAGGAACTACAGTCTCCCATGGGGACTGTTTTTCTGCCTCTTTTTTGTGCATTCCCATGGAACCTGCCTGCAGCAAGAGGCCTAAGATTGAGTATTTTTTGAAAATATTTCTAGGATGAAAATCCTGTTAAAATAAGCATGTCTGTCATCCAGCTCCAAGTACAGCATATGTTAATCAACATTTTCAAAAACATTAAACTATCAAAATCCAAATGCTTTTCCATGGTTGGGAAGTATCTTATGTTCATGTTACCTGTACCATTAAATGAAGTTGTGTGTATGTGTGTAATAGGGTCCAGGGCTTTAGACCCAGCTGTTATTCCAGGATCTCACAGGTGCCTTCTCCCTGAACAATCTAGGGTAGAAAAGGGACCTAAGGCCTTTGCCATTTTTCTCTTATAGCATTCATCTTGTTGATATAAAAGAGCTCTTTCAGCCCTTTAGCAAATACTTAACTCCTATGTGCCAGGCATTTTTCTAGACTCCAGGAGTATGGCCCATGTCCCAACATGGTCCCCGTTATCCCAGAGTTTACAGTCTAATTGGGAAGAGAAGGGGCAGATTTTAAGAGAAGGAAGATGAGTTCTGCTTAGGATAGTTGCAGTATGCTGTTGGGTAGTTGTAAACTCATGGAGACCTGGGTTGGTGATAGTGCTTTGGGGATCATCAGGGTGTAGGCCATAGCTGAAATTATGAAAATAAGATAGGATGAATACAGTCCTAAGCTGAAGATGAATACCTAAGTATCAATATTTAAGGAGTCCTTGGAAATAGAGTGATCCACAAGTACATGGAAAAGAGAGAGGGAGAGATCACAGGAGAATGCTGTATCTTGGAAGCCAAAAGAAAAATAATTGTTCCTTTAGATTGGGCACTTATGGCCCAGACAATGTTTCACTTAATTCTCACAAAATGTCTATTGAGGTATTTATTCCCTCCATTTTATACATGAAAAAACAGACTCTCAAACTTGAAGATCGTGAAGCCTGAGGTTGACCGTCCCAGAATTTAAAAACAAGCTAAGCAGCATCCCCGAGAATGGGGATGTTCAAAGAGTGAACTATGAGAAACAACCTGGTTCCTGCAAAGATGGCCACTTTAGGGTCAGCCCACTCATCAGTATCCTCAGGTCCTCAGCATCGCTCCTTAGCTCTTCCAAGTGAGTGTTACAAGAATTTGCCCACCCCCCACCCGCGGAGCTCAGACACACTCCGGTGATAGGCTATGCAGTACACCTAGCAGACAAAGGGCTTTATACTGTTAGGGGCAATCAGTACCGCAATCATCAGTGCAGTCGGCCCAACTCTTACAGATGTGTTTGGGAGGTACCATTTGCCATCACCTCCAACTCCAGCTCCATGGCAACTAAGCACATGTGGGAATCCAGAATCTGCTACCACACATTACTGAGGCCCAACACCATGACATGGCTTGTACATGCAGTGTTCAACATTCTGGTTGCACCATTCAGGGATTCTCAATCCATAGACCCATGTGCTCTGCCAGAAGCCAGTTCAGTGCTTTCAGAACAGTCAGCAACACTGCTGTGGTGCACATGCTGTATCCACCTTTAGGCATCTCAGCATGTTACATCTGTTTGTGGGTCACAAAGTGTTAGTTGGAATTTAAGTACTGAGATCACCACAGGTGGGGCTGTGCAAACGATGGTCCAAGCGCACATCATCTCAAAGGGGTTTCAAATGACCACTAATGCAACTGATACATTTCTTCAGAATATTGGACGCCACAGTGATTTTTACACCCAGAGTGACTGACTACATCCCCAAGTTCTGTGAGGCTGAGGCATATGACCAACTCAAAGTGAAAATGGAAAGCTGGTTCTTCCATGCTAAGGCTATCCGCCACTGGGAAGCACTTCTTGTTGCAGCAACAGCATTCCTGAAGCTTGCATCTGCAGTCCTGCATCACGCATCAGAAACAATTCCCGCAATGAGGAACTACTGCACTGGCAAACCCATAAATGGAAGAACACTGGACTGCAAGCTCCGTGAGGCATTTAGGGGAAAGCTCCCGAAATCAGGAGGAATATTCTTTACTTCGCAACAGCGTCACATCCTTGAGTCGTTTGTGATTACAGGGGAAATCCTGGAACAGGTGTACAAGAAGTCAAGCAAAAGAAGAGCTGAGCCTGACTTTATGGAAGATGATTAACCATTAAAAAAAAGACTGTAAAATTTAATGCATCAGTAGACCTGTTAGCGCAGGAGTCTTTCTAGTTTTTCGATTCCGCAATATTTGAATCATTGGTGGCTTTTGCCAGTGCCAGTTCAGCGGGTGGTGGGGTTGGAGGATAGATGGCAGAGGTCGGAAGAAAGATGAAATGGAGACGGGGTGGAGACGATGTGAAGTTTAGAAAATGACTTGAATGGAGAGGTTATAGTTCTGGAAGCCTGGGAAAACATATGTGGGTTCTCTCAGCCAGGAAAATGCCCAGGGGACTTAGCGAACTGAAGGCGAGCTCCACTCTTCCCGATCCTTTCGCTGGCTGGACTCCTGTATGCCCCGGGGGAGAAGCTGGGGCAGGGCTTTTCATGTGGCGGTTACCGGAAGTGACGCATACATCTCGCGAGAAGAAAGACGCGCGAGCCTCGGCGGCCCGGAACCGGCCTGGGAACAGTGGCGGAACCTGAGGCCGCTTGCCCTCCCGCCCCATGGAGCGGCCCCCGGGGCTGCGGCCGGGCGCGGGCGGGCCCTGGGAGATGCGGGAGCGGCTGGGCACCGGCGGCTTTGGGAACGTCTGCCTGTATCAGCATCGGGTGAGGTGGGGCGCGAGAGGGAGCGGCGGTGGGTGTTTGTCAGAGCGTCTGTGGAACACAGCGACTGTCAGTACGTGAGAGACTGTCGGTGAGACTTTGGGCAGTAGTGTGGGCCAGTAAGCCTGTGTAAATGAGTGAATGTGTGATACTGTGCCTGTGAGTCTGGTAACTGAGTCCGAGGCTGTATCCGAGGTCCTGGGTCAGTGTGTGTGAGCTAGAGCTCTTAGGGGGAACTTCTGGTATGAATGCCAAGATATGACAAACTGTTTAGAGTGTGACACTGCGTATGTGTCTCCGAATGTAGAGTGTGTCGGGGTGTGCGAGGCAGATGCACATTAAAGTGTGTATTGCGAGCATGAATGGGTGAGAAAATGGGACTGAAGAAGGGGGTTGACTGTTGGAATGTGTGTGTTCATGTGTGTGCTTGGAGGCTGTGTGATACCTGTAGGGGCTGGAATAGACACGGAAGGTTTCATGGGTCCACAGTTGAGCTTTTGGAGGCATCGGGTAGGCTTCAGATTTGGGGATGCGTTCTGGGTAGGGAACAGTGTAAGGATCAGCTGGTGAAATGATCATGGCTTCCTAAGGGAAGGAAGTAGATTGGGTGTGAGGTGTTCTAGTCTGTGAAGACAGCTAACTTCAGACTCAGGAATTTTGCTTTAATTTAATTGAAAATGTTTAACCATTTACCAGCAGTTAATAATCATGTTTGAGCTATGCATCTTTCAATATACCAATAAAAGCTATGAACCCTTTTCCCAGCAAAATGCACAGTTGCACATCCCCACCACCTTATGCATTGCCATTTGAAGGGGGGTCATGCTCTCCTGAAGGACATTCACAAACCTTTTAGAGGTATACATCCTTGACTAATAATCCTTGCAGATTTTGTTTTGTCATCTGTAAAATAGTTAAAGTAATTATATACATCATGGGTCTGTTTGAGAGTTAAATAAGATAATATGTGTAAAGCTAAGTACAGTACCTGTCGTAAGTTAAACCCTCAAATGTTAACTCCTGCTGCTCCTGTATTGTTGCTGTTGTCATCATCTTTACCATTATTAATTGGCCTTAAAAAAGGAAATGTCAAGATAAAAGTGGTGTCTTTGGAAGATTGTTTGTAAAAGATGAAACTGAGTGAAAAACATGGGGAAGACGAGCAGTTAAAATATTATTATTTT